GGAATACCAGAGAAGAAAGAGCAAAAGAAACAAAGCAAAAAATTTGAAGCAATAAAGACTGAAAATTTCCCCAAATTAATGTCAGAAACTAACCACAGATATAGTAAATTCAGAGAACATCAGGCAGGATAAATGTAAAAAAAAAATCTACATGTAGGCATATCATATTTAAACCGCAGCTAATCAAAGATAAAAAGAAATCTTGAAAAAAGCCAGAGGGAACACCTTACCTATAGAAGAGCAAGGATAAGAATTATATTAAACTTTTCAGAAATTATACAAACAGGAAGAGATTGAAGTGAAATACAGTGTCGAGAGAAAAAACAAACACTAACCTAGAATTCTGTACCCTATGAAATTATCCTTCAAGATGGAGACATACGTTCTCAAACAAAAATTGAAAGAATTTTTGCCAGTAGATTTATTTTGCAAGAAATGTTAAAGTTTTTCAGAGGAGAAAATGCTGTAACAGAAATAAAGAATGCCTTCGATGAGCTCATTAGTAGCCTGATACAGAAACTCAGTCTGTGTAAGGAAAAGAGGAGCATTATAGAAGGAATAAGTTAATGAAAACTTTTATTTTTTTAATCATAATTGATTGAATAGATAATAGCTTGTTCATAATAATAAAAGCTAAAATGTGTTTGATGTATGTATAACCTTGGACTACCCATGAAGCAGTGTTATTTGATTGCAAGTATTGGGAAAGAAGGAATATCTAAAATCAATAACCTAAGCTTCCACCTTAGAGAACTAGAAAATGAAAGTTAAATCTAAAGTAAGCAGAAGAAAAAAATGGTTAAAACTAGAGCAGAAACCAAAGAAATTGAAAACAGAAAATCTATAGAGAAAAATCAAGGAAACAAAAAGTTTCTTGGCTATTACTGATTTTTTTAAAAAAATCAGTAATAGCCAGGAAAAAAAAACAACAACAAACAAACTAAGGAGAGAGAGGACACAAATTATTACTATCAAAAAGGAAAGCGGGGACATCACTGCAGATCTTGTGGACACTGAAAGAATAAGAATGATTAAAGAGTATTATGAACAACTCTATGGCCCACAAATTTATTTATGTAGATGAAATGAACCAATTCCTTAAAAGACACAATACTGATGAAACTCACACAAGAAGAAACAGACAATCTGAATAGGCATATAGTTATTAAAGAAATTCAATCAATAATTTTATAACTTTTCCAAAACAGAAAGCACCAGGCGCAGATGGGTTCACTGGTGAATTCTACAAAACACTTGTGGAAGAAATGATAACAAATTCTCTATAATTTCTTCTGGAAGACAGAAACCCAGGGAATACTTCCATACTCATTCTATGAGGCCAGCATAATTCTAATCTCCAAACCAGACAAAGACATTGTAAGAAAGTAGTATTAGAAGCCAGTATTTTTCAAAAATATACATACCATAGCCTTCAACAGAGTATTAGTAAATCAAATCCAAACATGTACTAAAAATTATGCACTGTGACCAAGTGGGGATTATTTCAGATATGCAAAGCTGGTTCAACATCCAAAAATCAAAGTAATGTAATCCATCACATCAACAAGCTACAGAAGAAAATTCACATGCTCATACCTACCCCCATTTATGATAAAAACTTAGCCAACCAGAAATTGGGGAACATCCTCAACTTGATTAAAAAACATATACGAAAACGTAACAGTTATCTTATTTAATGGTGAAACTATAAGCTTTCTCACTACAATCAGGAGGAAGGACAGGATGTCCCTTCTCACCACTCCTTTTCAACATTATACTGGAAGACATAGAGAATGAATAAGACAAGAAAAGGAAATAGAAGGTATACATATTGGGGAATAAGAATTAAAACTGTACTTGTTAACAGATGACATGACTGTCTATGAAGAAAAATCTGAATCAGTAAAAATATTCCTGGAAGCAATAAGTGATTACATCAAGGATGCATGATACAAGGTAAATATACAAATAGTGCTTGCTTTTCTATATACCAGCAATGAACAACTTGAATTCAAAATAAACACACAGACAAGCCATTTACATTAGTATCCCCCAAAATGAAACAGGAATAAACCTAACAAAATATGGACAACATCTAAATAAAGAAAACCATAAAATCCTGGTGAAAGAAATCAAAGAACTAAATAAGTGGAGAAATACTTCATGTTCACAGGTAGACAGGAAGACCAGCCTGAAATGGTCAAAATGTCAATTCTTCTCTATTTGATCTACAGATTCAGTGCAATCCCAATGAAAATCCCAGCAAGCTATTTGTGGATATTCACAAACTCATTCTAAAATTTGTGCCAAGAGGCAAAAGATCCAGAATAGCCAACATAATATTGAAGAAAAACAAAACTGGAAGACTGACAGCATCCAACTTCAGGCAACAAATGGTACGAGATTAAATGGGCATACACACATGCAAACAAATGAATCCAGACAGACTTTACACCTTTCACAAATATTAACTCAAACTAGATCATGTACCTAAATGTAAAATGCAAAATTAAAAAAACTCTAGAAGGTAATATAGGAGAAAATCTAGATGATCTTGGGTTTGGTGCTAACCTTTTAGATACAACACAAAAGGCACAATCCATGAATGTAACAACTAATAAGTGGGACTTCATTAAAATTAAAAACTACACAGCTGTAAAAAAGGAACTCTTACCTTTTGGGACAGCATGGATATACCTGGATATTATTGTGCTAAGCAAAATAAGCCAGACAGAGAAAGACAAGTACCATATGATCTCACTTATATGTGGAATCTAATGAACAAAATAAACTGATGAATAAAATAGAACCAGAGGCGTGGATACATGGAACAGACTGACA